CTCCTTATCTAGGATTATCTAGAAAAGGAGTTCCTTTATTTGCTGGAAGTCTGTTCAATTGTAGTGTCAGGAAACTGATCTGGGCCCCCAGAATTTAAACAAGTACCAGTTACCCCCTTCCTATCAACAGAAATGCAACTCTATGTAAATATTCACTATAAATATCACATAGGAAATTGGAATTAAATTAGTGACTAAAGGTAAAAACCAAGAAAATAACCTGCTCAGATGTTACCCTGAAATTGTCTCTAACTTCATCCTTTAAGTCCAAACCAGAATCCCCAACACTGGTCTCTTATTAGGAAGGCTCACTACGCTATGAGCAGTGCCCCTCAACACCTGCCATCTAAACCTGTCTTGCATAAAATTTGTGCATCCTAGATTCTAGCCCTGCACAACCCCATTAAGTTGTAAACGGATTTTATTTGCTGAACAAATGTTAATGCCATTCTACGTTAATGGATAATGCTACGAAAAGTGCCTAAGTATTACAGCACTGGAACCTTTAAGAATGAAATATAGTATAACTTACAAAACTGTCTGTTACAAACATATGTCAGCCATGAGGGCTCCTAGCTCTTATCACCCATCTTCATAGAACTCGGTTATAATTTCTCCCTCGGTTAACTGAATTTTGCAATAATACACAGATTTATTAGGTCCCAGGATTAGAATTCTCTGAGTAAGAGTAAAAAATAATTACACTTTAGAATATAATGTAATATTCAAATGGCTTGAAAACAGTCACCTCAGCAAAAATAAGAGAGGGGAGAGGAAAAAGAAGTTTAAAGATGAGGTTGATAACATTGGCCATAAAACCTCTGTGAGTTCAAGTGCACAAATGCATGATCTGGCACTTCCGAATCATAAACACGTGGAAATGGGAAACCTCCCTTTCACAGCAAAATGCCTGAGTGGTTTCATTATTGAGCCAGGGGGATTTCTTCATTTAATAAGAAAGCTCAGTAGAGAAGATAGAGAGGGTGCTGGTGCCAGACGGTGCTCGTTAAAATCCCAGCTCTACCACTTTCTAGTTGTGTGACCTTGGGCAAGCTGTGTTTAGATCTCTTTGTCTGTAAAATGGGGATGTTAACAGTCCCTGCCTCATGGGGCATCTGTGATGGCTAAAGGAGCTAATACACGCAAGAAACTGAGAACAGTACCTCATCCGTATTAGGTGTCCCATAAATTCCATAAAATGTGTTCCATCATTTGGTACTTGTTCTTATCTACAGGGTCGTTTGCAAATGGAGAGGCCCTGGATGGAAACCGTAGCCTCTCCTCACAAAAGGTCTCTCGACTCCCTGACTTCATATTCTCAGTCTTCTCTTGTCTGGATGCTGCTCCTTCTACTGCACAGAAACAGCACTCAATAAAGTCACTGATGATCTTTTTGTTGTCCCGTCCATGGAGTGGTTTTCAATCCTCATCTCTCTTGTAGTCTCAGAAGTCCTGTGCACTGTTGAGCTTGAAACTCTCTTTCCCTGGGTTCTGGGACCTCCCATGGCCACCATTATCCCTCAACTTCCCAAGTCACACCCTCTCCCTTTCATTTGCTAGTGGATCCTACTCTCCTTGGCCCTTAAATGTTGGAATTTTGGCTCTCATTGCTTCTCTTGTCTCTCTCCAGGCAAGTTTACCCATTTCTATGGTTTTATTACCAACATGCTAATTAGTCCAAAACATTGGCCTGCTGCTTAGACCACTGTTCTGAGCCCCGGACCAATGTATACTCATCTATAGTCTCCATGTTTCCTGGACTGTCTCAAAGGTACTTCAAACTCAACATGTCAAAAAATTAATGTATGATTTCATCCCTCCCCCCACAAACTAGCATTTCCCTCGATGTTCCCATGCTTGTGAGTGCCCCACCAAGCATCCCTCATCTGGGCAGCTGCAACAGCCTCTCACTCCTCTCTTCTTCCCCCTCCTCCCCTCAATCCATTCTGCATAGCAGTCAGAGTAGAGTATCTAAATGGCCAATCTGATCACATCACTCTGGCTCATATTCTTTCACTGCCCCCCTAAGCTTATCTTGGACGGGGCTGAGAAGGCACAGCCCTACCTGGCTTGTCCTGCCTGGCTTTTGCCACTACTGTCTAGCTACTCTGGCCTCATTGCCCTTTCTGGGTCCCTAATTAGCCAAACCCTTCCTGTTCCTCTGCATGCAGCCTCAATATTCTTCTTCTTAGGTCAGTTTCCTATTCATCCTCCAACTATTAGTCCAAATATTGCTTCCTCAGGGAAGCTGTTCTTGACCTAAAATGAGGTCATGTGCCCTAAGGTGGGCTCTCATGGAACCCTGAGTACTTATCACAATTAACATTAGACATTTATTTACAAGATTAAAAATAAAACTTAGTATCTATATCCTCCAGCACATGGTTAGTTTCAAGAGGGTCATGTCTGCTTGGCCCACTATTATTTTCCCAGTACCTCCCACATGGAAAGGGCATGCTAACACTTGTTAAGTGAATATCTCAATTTTCATTACTTTAACGCACTTTCATGACCTGCTCATTCTCCACAATAAGAGAGAGCCATCACTTTTACGTGATGGCTCCATATAACGAGTACCTTGGTGACCTTGACCACATCAGGTTTACCCGAGCTGATCACAAGGGGAGAGAAAGTGATAAGGAAAACTAGGCCCCACAAAGACTATCCATGGGAAGGAACCCAGTGCTAAAAAGGCCAGTAAGTAATGTCTATGATTTAGAGCAAATGGAATCTGTGAGCTATCACAATGATATTCTTCATTCTCCCTTAGAGGATTCCTTCACTCAATCACTCATTCATTTATTCATTCTACAAAGTCGTGATTCTCAGTTCCAGACATCAGGGCCACAGTATGGGAGGAAAACCAACATGTGGCAGATACACAATAAATACCATTGGCTGTAATGGAGAAGGAGCCCCATGCTTGTGTTTGGAGGAGAGGACGTGCTTAGGACAAGAGAGGAAGACAACCCTGGAGAATGACTGGTGTGTGCGAGGCAGGGGACAACCAGGAAAACATCCTGGGCAAAACTGGGAACACGGATATGATCCTCTAGGAGCTCCCTCAGTACCAACTACTACTACTAACACATCAGGCTGATAGGTGAGGGCAGAGAAAAGGCCCACCTGGACACCACCATGACCTCTGTTTCCTCTGAGTCTATACCATTTCCCATTCTGGACCACTCCTCACGGGCTCTGGGAAGACCAGAACTTGGAGAGGGCTCAGCTGTCTTCTGATGAAATCATCATCTCTGTTGCCCTGAACCTTGCATGTGTTTCCAAATCAATTATCTGCTTGGTCCAGCCTTTCCCTTTTGTTCCGTGCCTGATTCAAAGTGGGCCATGGTAGCGGCAGCACTGTGGAATATTAGGGTCAGTATTGGGAAGTAGAAATGGGACCAGGGGGCATAAGGCTTTCATCAGCTCTCTTGAGAAAAAAATAATGCTTTAAACTCTTGACTGCAGCATTCAGTTGTATTTTAGGTGAATTTTATATTACTTCCACTATATCCTTTTGCTGTGTGAATTGCTCAAGCCCTTATTCAAACTTCAGGCTCTGCTTGGAGTACGGAAAAGAAAGGTCAAATGACAGGTTTTTATCATATCCTCAGAAAAGAGAAGAAAGGATAAGAACGGGTAGGATTTTATAAATTGGGAAACCAAAGAGGGATTGCTATGTTCTGGTATTACCATTTTGCTGACATAAACACCATAACTAATCAAAGGAAGAAGGCTTAAACACTGAATATTTGGACTCCAAACATGAAAGTATGTCAAAAGAGAAACAGGAAAAGTATATTAGCACTTTACACTATTTGTTGTTTAATCTGAAACAAAGCCTCAGGTTAGAGATAATACAGATACAAAATACAATATGTGTTTTATTTAACATATATTAAATGCCAGAAATGAAGCTACCCATTTTGACAACTGTTTTCTATATAAATCTCTGCCAGAAAAACAAAGATCATTATGAACTCAACAGATCAAATTTCAATTTCTTATTTTGGTCAACTTGAGAGTTAAAGATTTATTTATAAAATAATGCTTTCCAGGAAGCAAAAAACAAAACAAAAAAACCCTGCCTCTGAAAACAATTTGATGATTAATGCAAATTTTAAAACCAAATAATTATATTACTGTCATTCACTGGCAATTCAAGAAAAAGTGTGTAGGATGTCCAAAAGTTAGAAACATATTAAAATAAAGGTTTTTTCTTTATAGGGAATTGCCATCCCATCTGGTCTAATTTGTCTTGGTGTTTTGCCCAGCATAATATCAGCTCTCTGAGAATGTAAATTATTAGGTTACTCCCCTGAAAAAATATGAGTGAAGAAAAAATATGGGTTGAAGACAACATCCTGATTATAAGTTTGAATACTCAGGAAAACACTAATATGGCGGAAGAGCCCAACCTTAGTAAATCTGGGTGTGAAACTGGTTCATGGAGGGTAGCTACTAGAGATGATGAGGAGGAAAAAGACAGTCTTACAGGGAGTAAGAGGCAACACAATAAGATGCAAAACAATATGGAAATAAATTTCCAGACACTGAGCATTACCTCTTTGTCAGAGTGCTTCTGATTCCAATTAAGTTTAGGAGAAAAATAACAAGGCAACCCTTGCCTGACTGGAAAGTATAGACTATTAAAGGATGCTTCTAAATAGAAGGGTGATATATGGGGGCATCTAAATGTGTGCACAACCATATTTTTCATCTCAACTCTGTTCTTCTGTCTCCCAGTTCTCTCACTTTAATACAGTGTCACCTCAGCCCGTACAAAGCCATCAGGTTGATGGGTAACTCCTAGATTTTGAAAAGAAGCCATGTTTTTGTAAAGTGGCATTTAGGCAACTTCCATGATTGCCCTCAGAAAAGGTAAGCATCAAACAGTTAACAGACAACAGGCTCCTTTGACAATGTAGCCATGTGCCTCCTTCTATTTGGAATCTACGTCCAACCAGTTGGTAAGATTTGTAAAAACAAAATGTCCTTACCCGAATTATTTCTTCAACACAGCTGTTTGTGTCTCCAGATCTACTCTCCTGAAAGCAAAGGAAAAAAGAATTAAGTCTGATAGCATAGATTTATGGTTACAAAGAAAAGGGGACACATAAGCTTCTAAACCTGAGTTTGGACTAGGGATGCCTGATGTGGGACTTAGTGATGAGCTCCTTTCCTTAATGGGGTAGCCTGAGTCACAGCTATGACTGCTCCTTTCCCCCTGCGGCACAGCAGACAGGCCAGCCAGGAGCATGGCACACACCTGTGGTTCAGCTCTGGGCCCTCCAAATGCGCCCCTGCTAAGCAGTGCAGGCGCCTAGGAGGACAGCGGCCAACGGGCAGGTGTGAGCTCTCTGTTCCCCCTGGGCTCCATCACCGTGTGGAAATGTGGCCTCCGCTGCCAAAGTGGAACCAGTTCACCCACCAAACACGTGCAATGGCTTGGCCGAGTACAATGGTTGCGAAGGCTTAAGTAAAAGTCTGTCCCCACTTTTCAAGTAAAAGTCTGGTAGTTCCACCATCCTCAAAGCCCAGATTTACTGGTTTGATGAGCCGAAAACTGAAAGACCAAAAGGAGAAACATCCTCTCAACAGCCGCACAGCATGCTGGGTGTCACACTCCAGAGCCACTTGTTCTGTGACCCACACTGCTCTGTGCTGTGGAGATGTTAAGGGCTCTGAGGAATGGTGGCTTCAGGTCGCAGTCGACACTGGGGAGCACTTTCAGTTCCAGAGATTCTGTGTGGTTACTGCTGGTTCCACAGCTCGGAGCGCGGGAAGTGGTATGGTGGGGACGTGAAAGCAGCGTCTGCTGGTAGACGTGCCCGCTGTGGTCTGAGGGAGATACATCCCCTGGCCTTTTACTTCAGTGACGTTGGCCACAACTCAGCATGACATTCGAGAATGAGACTGTATTCACAATCTTCTCCAAGCCCATTCTCCCGTCCTCTTCACAGTTCTCTCTCCACCAGGAAAGCAAATCTGCCCCTTTCCGTGTTTCCTGGTTAATTCCAAGTCACCCCACAGACCACAGGACAATCATGGCTTCCTCAGAGCAGCTGTCCCTAAGCCTGGAGTACTCATCCTCAGCAGCATTTACTACTTCTTCAGAGTACTCACCACATTCAGTACTCAACTCTTTAATGCTATCTCCTCCCTCTAGAACATATGCTCCACAAATTTAGGGGCTCTGTGTCTTTCAGCTGTGCCCCACACAGTCCTGAGTGTGTGCAGTAAATGTTTGCTAGTGGACTCCTTATGAAGAAATGAGCGAACCTCCTTCCTATAGTCTCAGGAATGTGAGGACTACCACAGTCAGCTTCAGGACTTTGGAATATTGCAAAGGCTCTACCGAAGAAGACACCTTTGCACCCTCCCCACCCTCTTTCTGGTGGAAGAGCATTCTGTTTGAAATAGTCTACTCTTCACACTGGGTAAAGGGCCAGGGTGTATGAAGGTATGTGAAATCTGAAAAGGTCCCACACATGATTGAGAAAATTTGTCCAAGTCCCCTAACTGAGACCCAGAAAGTTTACATGACTCACCCTGTGCCACATAACAGCAGTGCCTGGACCAGAACACAGGACTCCTGACCCTCAGTCATGCACATTTTCACTTCCAGAAGCTTCCCCCAATCCCAAAACTGTGCTTTAAATATATTTAATCCCTTAGCAAACCTGAGCTCATTTGTCAAAGGTATTTCATTACCCGGGTTTCTACAAGGTTTATATGGTTTAGGAACTTCTCATGTGTGTGGTAAAATACACATAATATGAAATTTGCCATTTTAACCATTTTAAAGTGCATAATTTACTGGCACTGAATATAGTCACAATGCCACCAGTATCTAGTTCTAGAAGTTTTTCATCACCCTGAATGAAGTTCCCATGCCCCTTGAACAGGAACTTCCTGTTCTTCTCTCTCCCGAGCCCCTAGTAACCACTAATCTACTTTCCATCTCTATGGATCTTTCTATTCTGCACATTCCATGTAAATGGAATCATACAGTATGTGGCCTTTTATGTCTGGCTAGCTGGTTTCACTTAGGATAATGTTCAAGGTTCCTCCATGTTATAGCATGTATCATATTTCATTCCTTTTTATGAGCAAATAATATTCCACTGTGTGGATATACCACATTTTTTTATCCATTCATTAGTTGATGGACATTTTGATATTTACACTTTGGCTGTCATGATAGTACTTCTATAAACATCCATATTACAAGTTTTTGTTTGAACGCCTGCTTTCAGTTCTTTGGGGTATGTAATTAGGAGTTGAATTAGTGGGTCATATGGCAATTCTATGCTTAGCTTTGTTGAGGAATTGCCAAACTGTTTTCCACCCTGGCTGTACTGTTTTACATTCCATCAGCAAGGTTCTAATCTCTCCATATCCTCACAGACACTTGTTATTTTTGGTTTTGCATTGTTTTGTTTTTGATAGTAGCCATCCTACTGGTGTAAAAATGGTATCTCATTATGGTTTTGATATGCATTTTCCTAATGACTTTTGATGTTGAGCATCTTTACATGTGTATGTTGGTCATTTGCATATCTTCTTTGGAAAAATGTCCTTTGCCCACTTTTTAATTGGGTTTTTTGTCTTTTTTATTATTTGTTGTAAGAATTCTTTATATATTATGAGCCCTAGACCCTTATCAAATAAATGATTTGCACATATTTTCTTGCATTCTGTGGGCTGTATATTCACTTTCTTGGTAGTTCATGGATGTACAAAATTTTTAATTTTGAAGAAGTCCACTTTATTTTTTTTCTTTGTTCCTTTGCTTTTGGTGTCATATCTAAGAAACCACTGCTAAATCCAAGGTTCTGAGAGATGTGCTCATGTTCTCTTTTACTACTTTACAGCTTTTTAGTTTTTCTATTTAGGTCTTTAATCCATTAGTTCGAGAATTTTTAGGTAAAGTGTATTTCCTTATTATCTGGTAAGTTTTAGTTAAAACAGGAACACTATCTTTGTATAAATTACTCCATGCTGGTCTCATCACTAAAGATTAAACAAAATGTTTAAGGCACAGCCACTGTTGTTCAAGGTGCCTGAATACAATATACATGTCTATCCTTATGTATCAAGAAAAATAGTGTTAAACAGTATGACAGGATTAGGAGACCCAAATGCTTTTACTAATATTTCATTACCCTTTCCTACATCCATCCCTCCTATTTCCCCAAAAGTTCCAGTTTGGTGACACACATGTCATAAGCCCTTCCTCCCCACAAATTTACGCCCAGTGCCTTATCTACTTCTTTTTCTAGAAACTTCACCATTCCTTTTTTTTTTTTTTTTAAAGAGAGCAAGAGGGGTGGAGGTTGGGGCAGAGGGAAAGGGAGAAAGAGAATCTTAAGCAGGCTCTGTGTCCAGCGTGGAGCATGACATAGTCTTGATCTCACGACCCTGAGATCATGACCTGAGCTGAAATCAAGAATCAGATGCTTAACCAAGTGAGCCATCCAGGTGCCCCTGGAAACTTCAGTATTCTAACACTCTAATCAAATTGGATCAGAGAGCTCTTTTTGGAACTTGCCCGAAACTTACTTCCTTTCCAGGGCAGCCTGAGGCAATCGTCACAAAGGCTGTATGGTAAAGTCTCCATCAGGTTCAGGCCAGGGCTCAATGGTGTTTAGAACCATCTCCTTTGGAGTTGAGTGGTGGGGATGAGTGGTCTCAATTGGAAAATGTGTCTTCAAACTCACAACCACTTCTCTTACCCTACTTCCAAGTCCCAATTCTTCCCTTCTGTATAACATACTGGCAGAGCAAATACTAAGTTCTCATGTACTTTCTATTTTCCATCTTTAAAACAGTCGATCAAGAAAAACTTCACTTCATGTTCACCTGGCAGACTCACTCAGATACACAACATACTAAAAAGATTCTTCAAATTAAACTTTGGGTTTGATTCCTTAAAGCTATATTTCCCCTGAATACCATACTTTAATTTCATTTGAAGGGATTTATATAAATGACATATTGCTCTTATGAATATCTCTTCCTATCATACTATAAATTTCCACTATCCTACTCTGAAAAAGGGAAACCGTTGAGAGAGACATATGGTAATAGATACCTATTTAAATACTTCCCTTATCACTGTAGATGAAGTATGTAAGATTATTACATTGGATCATATCGATGACTGCTCCAACCATGAGTTTTGATGGTCTGGACAGACATCAGGTCATTCCCTACTGGGAGAGACTCTTATAAAGCCGAGAAAGTGCCAGACTTCTAATAACAGTCTCAGGAAGCCCTGGCCTTACATCACAGTATGGAGAGTCTTTGGGCCTTCTCTGGAACATTTTTACTCCTGGGCACACCTAAGGACCTAAGAAGGGTACCATGTTGAATCTGAATCTCCAGGACCCCATTTGGATTGAAGTGGGTCCATGAGACACAGTATTATAGAAAGTTTGAATTGGAAGGAACCCAAGAGCTCATTTTAGGCCAACTCAATGACTTTAACAGATGGAGAAACTGTGGCCCAGAGAAGTGAAAGACTTTTCCAAAATCAGTCTGGCAGCAAGAGGCAGTCAAGATGGAACCCACACCCATTTATTCAACACCAGTTCAGTGAATTTTCTGCTATATCATGCTGTCTCTCTAAGGCCAACCCTTAGAACTGGCTCAACTTAAGGTCACTGTCATGCCTGAAGTATGGAAATAAAAGAATCTGGAGAGTATTTGGGTAAATTTCCATGCTGCAAATCATCCAACACTTAGTCACCCATGTGTCTTATTAACCTCCAACATCACATGCATAGACAAAAGGGGAAAGAGATAGGAGAGGAAGTAGAAGGGGTTAAACCCACCATTCCTCCTGTGACATTAACAGATTAGAGACAAAGATTTGTGTTCCCTGAAAGTGGAAGACAGAATCCCACCTCTTCTTTTCCAAATACACAAAAGGGGGTAGGCAAGTAGGATTGGAGTGGGCAAGGGGTGAGGGCTGGGGGAGACTGGAGGGCCTTTCACCTTCTTGAGATCTTTCTTAAATCTGCTTTTAGCCGCAGTTGTGTGC